GATAAAAAATAAGAGAAACTCTACAGATGAACAAAAAACAAAAAAAGACATTGAGACAAAAAAATAGAAAAATGCCGCCCGGAAATGTTCAGATTAAATAGAATAGAAAATAACTGCCTTGACTCAGAGCCATAACTAGTATTATAAAAAGATGTATATAAAAGATGCTAGAATGAAGAAATGAGATGTAAATATAAAATAGGAATATATGAAGGAGATTAATGTCAAAAATGCAGCAAAGTTATAATATTTTTTTTCAAGGTGAGGGTGGGCGGGAAAGAAAAACTGTAGAGCAAGCGTAGACTAGGAAAGTGTCCTCGCAAGGCTAGCAATGACGTAATACGTAACGAAATTAGATTTTGATAGAAGGAATGAGTAAGTTGGAGAAGAAATAGTTGAGTGAGAGAGGTGGGGGAAAGCAGGAATCAAGAGATATACTTAGTGCAATAAGATCTCTTTCCTCGTCTGCTTCCCTTTGTCCCAATCCATCTAGTATTGTAACTCCCCGGATTCACTGCTATTTTGTGGACACTTTGTCTATCTTGCCATTCTTCTTTCGTGACTTTCTACTTGTCATATTCCACTGGGTTAATAACATACCAACCTTGAGGAATAAGTCTCTAAATTTACAGGTTGGATGGCACTTGTGTCTTTGACACGCGGGTGGAGGGCTACGCGGACCGCTACCGCGAAGCGGTAGCGCGAACGGAAGTGTATTGCTGAAGAAGCATTGCTGGGGTCTTAAACAAAGAACCTGCGCGACCAAAATATAGAGAAAAAACCACAAAACATGTCAGCCCCCATTTCCGCCCGCCTACTTAGGCAGAATGGTGATGGTAATAGGAAGACTGGTGATGAAAGGAAATGGGGTATAATGAAGCCGCCCCAGCAGGGTATAAAGAAATGTAACGGAGTATGCTACCCACGACGGGAAGAACCTGGTATGAAGGTATGAACCGCAACAAGAACATATATAGCTTACATTAGAAAGGCAAAGACGCTGCCATCGTGAATAACACCTCTGCGCCAACATGACCGTTTGTGGACAACGGAAACTGCCTCAGCAGCGGGAGACGCATCACTGGGTGGTCGCGTATGTAAGTCTTGAAAGCCTCACTCGACCACCTTCCAATGTCTTGGATATAATCAAGGGGTAGACCTGCTCTGGCCAACACGGAAGCTCCGCCTGATCTCATGGAGTGGCCTGACTTCTCCTTGGAGAAAAAAGTTCTAAATCAACAAAGGGACCAAGATCTTGAGGGGTGAGACCCACGACTGGTAATGAAGAGGAATGGCAAAGTTAGAAACAGATGATCACGTAGCTTGAGGTAAGCAAGGAGCGCTGTGAAAGGACAAGAACCCGACACGTTGCACACGCTGAGGATGACAGTGGACCCTAGGAAAAAAGGGTCACTCTTGTGATAGGGCAGAGTATATTGAAGAAAGCCCCCGCAAGTCGAGTCAAAGAGAGAAGTTTGCTTGATGGACTTTTGATCGTCGCAGAGCCGGGAGTCGTCAGGGGCGACTAATTCGCCCAGTCGATGAAGGCCGTGGAAACCAACAGTAAGCAACGTTAAGAAAAGGATGGAGTCGAAAGACTGGTCACATGCGGAGTGGACTAAAACAAGATCTTGTAGAGACAGGGGCTCTTTCCGTAAGACCGGAGAAGAAAACTGGCGCTTGCAGCCTTTCATAACATCCCTAACCGCTTTACTATTGGTAATCTGAGTGATATTTGGCATAGTCGCCTCAAAAGCCAATGCAATGCCAGACAGGTAGGCCTCAACCATGCAAGGAGAGATCCGTTCACAGCCCCCAACTACTGGTCACTGGCAGGCCAGTACATCCGATGTCTCCAAAATGTTTTCAACAAAAATTCAATTTGTTTTCAGCATAACATCCATCTGCTATCAAGATGTTTTGGGTCAGTTATCAGCAAAATATGTCATACCACCAAAATTGAGATGATGTCATACAGCATCATAAACCTGTACAGACCTGCTCCTGTATTTCCCCACCAAGAATATATAGTTTATTAACCTTTGTGACATCAATTGACTGAGTTATTGAGGTTTTAAAAAAAATCACGGACAAAAAATACTATTTTTGTACTATACCTAAAAATTGATTCTGGAATATCTTCCAGCTTCATCAATACACATACACAAAAAAATTGACATTCCTCTTGAAAATATGTTTCTCCACATTTTGGTCCCCTAAAGCCTTCCTGTATGGGCAGTATTTCTATATGTAATTGTGGTGTGTACATGCGCAGTCAACAATTTCATTGATTCTTTGATTCTAGACAGAATATGGCAAAGTTTATGGCAGAAATTTTTGTCAAATACCATCTACATGTATATCAATCAAATTCAGAATGATGTTGGCAATACGTTCTCTCAAAATTTTGTCTTGGGGCAAAGAACTTCAGAAAACCAAACTTGCAGACACATTCAGGGATTACATGTAGAAATAATGCCCATACAGGAAGGCTTTAGGGGACAAAAATGTGGAGAAACATATTTTCAAAAGGATTATCAATTTTTTTTGTATGTATATTCATAAATACGGAAGATATTCCAGAATCAATTCTTAGGTAGAGTACAAAAATAGTATTTTTTGTCCGTGATTTTTTTTTCAAACCTCAATAACTCAGTCAATTGATGTCACAAAGGTTAATAAACTATATATTCTTGGTGGGGAAATACAGGAGCAGGTCTGTACAGGTTTATGATGCTGTATGACATCATCTCAATTTTGGTGGTCTCCCAACCACTTCTCAACAAATTCTCAATTGATGGATGTTATCCATTTGATATCCATTTCATAACTTTCTCATAACTTGCTAGGGTTGGTGGGAGGCACTGGCCTGCCAGTGACTTGTGATTGGGGGCTGTGGTTGACCGGTACAAGAGCTGATGCGACGACATGAAGAAGAAACGAATAACATAAGGAGGGCCTTGGAAGGGACAGGTTGAAAGGATTGTTCATGACAGAAATTCAGAAACGAGATGAGCGCTGAACAATATTTAGATTTGGTGGAGGCTGCTAAAGTCTGATCCGCGTCCGCTTTGGTGATCGCAAGCATAAGGTCGCTTTTGGATGGCAGCAACATGATAGAGAGGAAGGAGACGCTCAGAGAGAAGAGGGAGCAAAAACCTCTGTTGGGTAGAGAAGTGAAAGCATCCAGAGGAGAAGTGGAGGCCCCTTTTATAAGCCCATGAACGTTGCTAGGGGCGCCCCTGGACAAAGCGTTGGCAAACACGTTCTTGACGCCTGCCAAGTGGCATACCCAAACGTCCACACCCGCGTCAATGATGTGGGAGATGATGGCCGAAAAAAGTGGCCTGACTTTCTTGACCGGCCTGTGGGACAGGAAAAGATTGCAGACGTTGGACGAGTCAGAGCAGACAAAAATTTTCTTTGATCCGTGCTTGATCCCAAGGAGGATTGCGTGGGAGGTGGTGGCCAGCTCGGCTCAGTAGATGTTGCAAGAAGGGAGGGGGAATTTGAAATGGAAACCTTTGGCAGAATCAGGTAGCCAGACTCCTAAACCCTCCCGACAGGCGTCGCCCGTACATAGGAAATCCGTGTCTCCTACACTCCAAATCGCTGCGTCCAGAAAGAAATTCCCAGATGATTCCTCCAACCTGTCCGCCAGCCATCAGAGGTCTGCTTGGATCGGTTTATTGTGAGGGACTACTAGATGCTTGTACTCTTTCCCACTGATCTTCTCCCAGGAAGACTGTAAGGCCCAACGACCCATAGGAAAAGAGTTGAGGCCTCAGGATGCCCAACCTAGGAGAGATTGCCATTCCCGAAGGGTCCTGGCCTTGGTTGTAGTGAAAGAACAAAGGGCAGAGACGAGGTTGGCCTTCTTATCGTCCGGAAGAGAGAACGAGAGCTCCTTTGCTCTCACAAAATGACCTATGAACTCCAGGTGAATACCTTGAATCTGCTTCTTCCACTCCCACGGGATCTTGAGTAGGTCGAACAATAAGAGGAGCTTTGCTTGATCCAAAGGCACCTGATGGCCTCTAAACTCCACCATTGACGACAGCGGACTGACACCCCATGTGTCATCCATGAGATTGTTGATACAAGTGATCCCTAAGCGCGTGCGTGCTATCCATAACACCAAGGAAAAGAAAGAACACCAAATCTTTGGCAAGGCTGCCAAGCCAAAATTAGCACAGCGGTCTACATGAAACATATCATCGATGCACACTATCTGACGGAGTTGCCAAGCCAAGGCCATCACTAAGATGTGGTAAGCGTTCATGACATCAGATTTCCACAGCACTAGCGGGACCCCTCTCTTAGCCAACTTGACCATGTACGGAGCAAAAGATATTAAAGAATCGAAAGAAACTCGTATCCGGTCTTTGACAATATGGTCGTTGAGGGAAGGTTTGCCGTAACTCATGTCTGTACACACCCACATTTTTGATGTCCCCTTTTTTGCTACAAGCAGCAACGGCGATACTTTCATGCCTGGCAATAGCGTATGGAAACCCGGAGAGTAGCAATCTGCCTCCACCTCTTCCTTGCACGCCTTTGTTAAAAGTTTGGGAGCTAGATCACATACCCCGTGGTTCTTCGTGAAGCTGATATTCTCGGATGGAATTTCAGACATGGGCCAGAAACCTCTTCTTAGACCTCTCACCACCGAAGCTACAAAGGGTTGGTTGGGGTGGTCTTGGAGCAAGAATTCAAACATGTCCGAATTGATCGGGCTAACAATCTTGAAGAACTCCTCGTATTGCTTAAGGGCATAATTTGCCGTTGGATCAGACTCCAGAGGGGGCAGGTCATCAAGAGGGCAGGCTGAGAAGGTTGAATCAATAGCGTTTGAGAAACCCGTAGCACCTGGCCATTCCCACTCATAACCCCTTTTGAATTTCCTCTTTCCGTATTCTTGATCTGCCATTTCCTTGATGATGTCTTCTTTAAATCTCAGAGCATCAAAGTTTGAGACATCATTTCGGAATGGAATTTGTTCATCTGGGGTGAGTGATACGTTTGTGGTTGTCGTTGCATCCCACAACTTCGCAGACGCCGTGAATCCGGCCACACTTCGCTTGGTCCGCACATTTGTCAAGATTCCAACCACCACATATTTGTTGGTTTTTCGGAAGATGTTTAGTAATTTTGAGCTTAGGCCCGTCCGGGATAGGTCTTGTAAGCCTTGTGCTGTTCAAAGCGTTGCACACCATAGCCTTCGAAGAAGATGCCGCACTCTGCTGAGAAAAGTATGGTTCTCTGGAGATGTATTGTCGACTTTCCAAGGTTGGCCAAGCCATTGCTTTGATGTGCTTGAGTTTGCTACTATTGAAATCCGCAAATGACAAATGACGTCTTGCTGCAAAGGCTTTCCGCATCTCTGCATCGTAGGGGATGATGTCTTTCCAATTTCCCTAAGCATTTGTATATGCCAGTTCATATGTATCGGTATGAAGCAAAGTATGGTAAGTCTCCGTATTTTGTATGAAAAGATGTATGGTATGTATAACAGGTGCTGGTATGTTGCTTACCCTGCGAGTAAAAATGATTTCCAGAGATTTGACGTGTCTCGTATATTTTTTGAAGGATGGGGCTGCTGAAGGCTGCAGCGTACAACATGGACAAATGTCGCACCATAGATATAGACAGAAAAATTTAAAAACACTGTATTAATATCTCAGGCATATAGTGTGTTGTATACAAATAGTGTGTCGTATAAGAAAAAAGTATTGTGGAAATAATTTGGAGAGCCTAGCTAGAACACAATGATTCTATGCGCCTGAGCAAAACCAACTTACAAAAGCCGCTGATAAAGCTTTCTGAAGAATGCTGAGAGTGTTCCTCCACTCTCCTGATTCCGTGAAGGGTCTGGGTTTGATTTTTCCAGCTGCTTCCTTGTCAGTGGCTTTGTGCACTTGTTCTGATGAATTGGGCACCACCCCCGCGTTAATCTTCTCCAGTTCAATATAGTTGTACTCAAGGAGATCCCAAACGAGGGTGCCTGGGAAATCAGGGGGCTATCTCCCACCCAGCAGAACGAGTTGACTGCATCTTTAAGAGTATGGCTACAATATTCTTCTCAATATTTTCTGATTTCTCTCGCTTCTTGACCGATAATCTTATCATCTCCTTCATCTCTTTTTGCGAATGAGTATTTGTGTTCAGAGGAATCAGAGCTTGAGCTATTGGAAGAGCTATTGCGTCGAGATCTCCTCCTCCTCTTCTTCTTATTCTTCTTTGATTTCTTCCCAGCTGAAGCATCATTCGAGCAGTCACCAGATTGGCTTGGTCCTTGGAGATATCCTCCGCCATTTCTGTCGTTTTGTTGACCTCCAAAGTTTTGCTGGTCAAACTGTTGTTGTTGTTGAGGGGGGGAGCGTTGACGACCCGCATTTGGGTTTTCTTGAAAGTAATTAGGGGGGAAAATATAAGGGAGTTGCTCTTTGATAGGGAGTTCCAGTGGTGGGAAAGGACCACCAATGGGATAGCACCATCTGTTGTTACGTCTGTCGATCTCAATAGCTTGTAGCGCGAAGGCTGAGAAATGTCGGAACGTATATTGCGAACTTGGATCTGAGGGCCTGCATTGTATATGTGTCGCAGCCCCCATATCTCTCGTAGTTTGCCAATGTTTCCAGAATATGCTCTGCCACCATTCTGTTCTGATTCCACATTTGCCTCCATGTACAGTCAAACCGGAAAAGCTTGACCGATTTTGCCCGCAAAACTCGAGCAAATTGGCGGGGAATTGGTGGCAAGCTTTTCCGGTTTGACTGTACTGACTCTGCTCGTGAGAAAGAAAAGAAAAACTGTAGAGCAAGCGTAGACTAGGAAAGTGTCCTCGCGAGACTAGCAATGACGTAATACGTAACAAAATTAGATTTCAATAGAAGGAATCTGAAGGAATGAGTAAGTTGGAGAAGAAATAGTTGAGTGAGAGAGGTGGGGAAAAGCAGGAATCAAGAGATATACTTAGTGCAATAAGATCTCTTTCCTTGTCTGCTTCCCTTCGTCCCAATCCATCTATTATCGTAACTCCCCGGATTTACTGCTATTTTGTGGACACTTTGTCTATCTTGCCATTCTTCTTTCGTAACTTTCTACTGGTCATATTCCACTGGGTTAATAACATACCAACCTCGAGTCATAACCACTGCACTTTAAAAAAACAAACATGTTAATGAGCTTTATTGGGCTCCTCCCTGCTCAGTGCTCCTCCACAGGGTTGGAAAGCAACCAATTCTAATGTCTAGCTGGACGCTGTGAGATAGGATGCCACGACTTTTGTTTGACATCTCTGAATCAGGCTCCTTTCCCATACTAGATATGTCAATCAAGTCTTACAATTCAAAAACTCATGACTGTGTGTACTATATTAAGACATAATGAAAAAGTGATGCCCAGCTGCTTCAAAAGTTGATATAAGTAATACCAAAGGATTTCTGCCTACCAGCGCTCTGAGTGATATCATTCGCCCTCTCGAAAAGCGAAAAGCTCGTGTTACTCAGATCTTTTTGGCTTTTGTACCTCAAGTTATCTCGCCTTCCAATCGTCAATTTCAGACCGAATGTCTGCTGAATACCCCATTTATGACCCGGTTCGTCTTTGACTTTTAGTTTCAACTTTTGAAGGATGTTCTGATCTATGCGTGCAGGATTCATGTCAACCCATCTGCTGACTCTTGAAAGGTGTTTTAGCGTAATGAATTGCACGATGCTTTACGTCGAAAGGTGCTTAGAAAAATCGACCTGCGCACAATTCCTTGTGTCATGTTACTATACCTCGCATGCTTCGGTAAGCCCTAATTAACGATTTGGAGCCTCCAGCTCGAACACATATAATCCTTAAGCTAGCCTCCGTTGCTATGTCTAATTCCCGCATATCTGCTCTTTCATTGCCATTGTATGGTTGGGTCTTCAAGTTGATAGATCAAACATTGGAAATGCCAAAGTCAGTATTCTCGTACTTGAGATGAAGGCATACTTCCATTACTAGTCTCAGAAGAAGAGAGATACTGATAGTGAGTGCTGGAAATTCAGGTTGCTGGCTTAGAAAGGGATCTTCACCTGAAAGGCATCCAGTTCAACATCGCCCTCAGCGCATTGTAGGCTCGCTTTTTTGTGTTTCAAATAGCCTTGCAATCTTACAGTGCGCCTTCGGACTCTTACCTTGGTAAAACAGTACAATTACTTATATCATCGTCAAAATTCCATCAAATCATATTTTGCGCAAAGTGGGGGCCAAGGTAACTTTATGAACATTGAGCGCGAGAATCTGTAGGCTTTAGGTACTGATTGACTTGAAACAGTTTTGGTTGCCGTTTTTGGTTTTTTGTTGGGGTTGGTTATCTTATCACTGAGCATGCCAATCACTCCACACACTCCACGTCGCCGAATAGCAACTCGTCAATCTTTGGCCAAAGTCTGACCATGATTTCTTCATGTTTTTATTCCGGTTCAAAGGTGTGGTCACCGTCTTTTCGGCGTTCATGTCGAACTACGCGTCTTTGCTTGCCGTGAGAGCTGTGTTAGGTAGGCCCTTGAAATTTTGTCTTTTGGTTCAAATTGGTCCTCCAACTGATCTGCTGCAATGCATCGATCAATTCTTTTGATAGGGTTTTGTGAGGGTGGTTTGCAGCCTGGGGTTATATTATACCTATCGTCACTCTACAAGCCTGAAGAGCTGCAGCTTCGAGTGGGGCTATCTTTTTGTAGCACTGCCTTGAGTCACATCCTGGGTGGATTCCTAGCGTTCGCAATTCATCGTAGAATGGATGGGTTCGCTGGAAAGGGTGCTTGGTCGTAAGTAATTGACAAAATGGTCTTCCATATCTTCATATTAGTCTAATGAAACTGATTATCTTCTCAAATGACAGCTGGATATTCATCATTGGTGCAATTGTTTTTTTCTTCTTCCATAAGTCACATACGCGGCCTGACGAGTAGATTTTTTTCAACCTGAAGAGGGTACCTTAACCATCTTTGTTGCTGTTGTCGTCTGGTTCTTTCTATGCTCAAGTATCGAGACCGCTCCTTACTTAACCCCAAGCGAGCGCGAATTCGCAGGTTTGTCTGATCTTGGAAGTGAATATTGAAGTGTGATGACATTTTCGATCTTAGTCTCTGTGCTGTTGTTTTTTCATCTCTTCGCCCCTTCGCTGTCTCAACCTTGTAGTTCAGAGGCTGAAAGGATCCAAACAGCTCAGTGACACGGAAAACAAGCTTGGATCAGCAAAAAGGGAGCCTGAAGATGAAACAGCCGAAACGCTACCTTCTCTTGACGACGAAAGAAATACTCTTCATTTGGAGGAATTCGAGTGGTTCGAATGTAGAAGGGCATTTTTGGAGCCACAAGTTTGGCTGATCGGTCTCAGTGAATCAGCTATCTCCATACCGCTGGCAGCGTTATCTTTCTTCTTGTAAGTCTTGCGGCTCATTGATATCAGCAGGTTTGGAAAGTTGCTTATTTACTGGATTATACCCATCCTATCACAGACCAACGTGTATGTCGTGTGGTTCCATGCGTGATATGTGGCCCGCGCGAGCTTTTGGAGCGTTTAGGACTGAATCCTTTCCCAACACGAACTGACAGTGGTCAGCGGGATGGGGCATACCGGAGCCGCGGCACAGCTCTTCTCTTCATTGCCGTACATTCCCGCCTTGGTGACGGTAATAGCATCTGCTTTACTGGCAGACAGATGGAGAATACGCGGACCCATTGTACTCGCATGCGTGCCTGTAGGCATTATTGGATGTAAGCACCTGTTTTGTTTCGAGTTCGACTGAGGAACAAAGGTGTGTTTTCCCCAAGATGACGCTTACATGCATGGTTGGATTTCAAAGACTTGATGTTGATCTTTTCAAAGAGCACCGGAACCCGTTACGCAGCATTTTTTTTCGTCGTGTCTGGACTATACCCTGCCATACCCTGTCTTGTGTGTATCACACCAATCAATACCTCTGGTGTCGTTAAACGGGCAACGTGTGTTGGGATCCAGGGAATGGTCAGTCTTGGACGCTTCGTAGTTCAATGTGACCTTTGCGATGAACTGATCATATCATCTCTCACTGTAGATCCAGGGCTTATCAATCTTGATAGGACCTTTCATATACATAAAGGGTGAACCTGAGGTGAAAGGCCATAAGATCGCGCTTGGGCTCACCTGTGGTGCTTGGGCTCTGACGGCAGCCAATGTGTTGTACTGCCACTTTGAAAACTCAAGGAAAGCTAGCGGCCGAAGAGATCATTTGGTGGCACAATATCTCGAGCAGTTTCGCGCAGGGCAGACTCGTGCACCAATCGGGGACCGAAGTCCAAATTTTTACTTTACACTTTGAACCGTGTTGAATTTCTCGAAGGCTGAGGACAGATTTCAAGCTCATCATATGTACATACAAAGCAAGTATATCACTTAGTAAAAAGATTGTCCATGTGTGATAGATTCTTGAGACATTTTCATATTCTTTGTGTGATGACAAATAGGGGGTTTCAAGTTAGGTTTTTTTGCGTATTTTTACGCTACAACAACTTGCCTGTTGTTGTAAAATATGCGTAAATTTTTTACAGCGGAACACCTTTTTAGGTGTCCCGAATTGAAAATACGTTGTTTGACAAAGATTTTTTTTACGAACAACTTGTCCGAATTTAAAAAAATTACACAAAAAAAAATTGAACTTGAAACCCCCTAATGCATCCAACAAGCTGCAATGAATTTTGACGTAAGATATACGTGGTATGTAGCATCTTGTGCTGCATCTTTTTTTGTGCTTGAATTACAAAATGACATTGATACGTATAGTGAGTGTACTGCACCATCATGTCAATGCAGGATATAGAATATTGGATTGGATTTGTAATGCTCTCAACACATCTTCTACCAAATCCTACCTCAAAAGTAACAAAGGCAAGGCTGTTTCCTTTTCCAATGACTCACCACACTACATACAATGTATATCATCTCACATGGGTAAAAAGAGACCTTAATTCCAAGACATTTGCATACATGTATAGTATCTCAATAAATAAATTCCAACGCCGCAAGGACCAAAGGCTGAGTAAAAATATGACAAAAAGATCCAAAGTTAGATTTGAATTACAACAAAGCCTTCCTTGACTCACAAGTAGTGACAGTCAACCTTTGATTAACTAATCTTTTCCCTTTTTAAATAATGATAAAAAAACTCAAATGTGAAAAATATCAACTGAAATCTCAATTGTAATCGAAACCAGACTCCCTCATGAAAGTTTCAAAGCTTCAACTCTCAACACCACATGAATGATAAGTAGTTTTGAACCTTACTTGACTCTTCAAATTAAATTGTATAAAAAATCAATGATCATAAACCATTATTAATGAATTTGTTCATTGAACCTTTTTGTCTAATCTCATCAATCATCTCTCTCAAGCTCATCACATCAAAAAGCTAAACACTAAACAAAAAGTTACAAAACTTTAAGGAATCATCAACAAAAGTTTAAAATCCTATCAAGAAAACTCATCACTCTACAATTCTTCTTCTTGTTCATTTTCCAACATCTCTTTAAACTCTTCTGCACTAGCAAACACACCTCCTCCTTTACTACCACCATGACCCCATTTCTTTTTCTTTTCATTCTTAACTTTCTTCTTTAGATTCGATTCATCATCATTATCATCATCTGCTTCTCTATTCCTTTTACTTTTCAATTTGGTTGAGATTCCTTCTGAGTTTGAGTTTGAATCAGATTCATCAAATTCGATTAAATCATCCATATCTTCGATAATCAAATCTTCATCTCCTTCATCTTCTTCATCATCAAACCCTTGAAACTCTTCATCCCCAACCCCATCCGATCCATCATCCTCTAATCCTTCAAAACCTTCATCATCATCATCATCATCGTTCATCAAAGCCTCAAATCCTTCAAGATCATCCTCATCATCATCCACATCATCACTTATCCCATCAAGTTCATCACCTCCAATCGATTTCTTCATCGCTTTCCAAACTTCATCTTCATCCATCTCATCTTCATCTTCTTCTATACTACCATCATCAGATCCTCCTTTCCCTCCAAAATCTCCATCTCCTTCGTTTCCTTCTCGATCTATCCTTTTGGACCTTGGCTTTTTCTTTTCATTCCCTTCGTTGCCTTCTTCATACCTTTTACTAAAATATTTATGTAAGAAAATCTAATCACACAAAGTAAAAAAAGAAATTTATAAGTGTAAACTCAAATGTGATTGTTTTTTGGTTTTGATCAAGTTGACTGATTTTTGGTTTTATAAGAATAAGGAAAAGAAGATCAAATCACTCACTTGATCTACATTCACATCTTGAACATCTAATTTCCCAAACTCCTCAAAGCCGATCCCATCATCCTCAATCTTACCCAACGCTTTAGAAACCAATGAGCGATGATCTTTTTGAGTTTTACCAATCTGATCATGTAAAGAAGCTTGCATGATAGAGATGCCTTTAACTTTTGAAGTTGTCGTTCTTGAATTTTCTTGAATTTTCTTCATCGATTTCTTATACACAAACCGATCTAAGAATTGATTTAAACTATGAGTTTCTTGTAAATCTATCTTAGATGATACTTTACAGTCTGATGAAATTAATTCTTGGGTGTTTAATCTGACTGATGGATGATAATGTGATAATAATGGTTCCTATTTCCCAAAAAGAAAAAGAAACCCATTCGTCAAAAAAAAGGGTTTGATGATTTTAGATTTTAGAGAGAAAGATCATCATCAGGTCACTTACGATTTCCCATAATGGAAAACTAGACGCATTAGCAAACTTAGGTTCTCTTTTCTTTCCATCATAAGTTTGGGCTTTGGTTTCGGTTAGATCTTCATTCTTTAATTCTTCATCTTGACTTTCTTCCACCGATTTAGATTTAGATGTAGATGAAAGTTGAATTAATCTTCTACAACTAGGATGACTAGTGGTCATCAACTATATCAAAATCCACATTCATATGTTAATCTTGGAGAAATAAAAATCAAGAAGAAGAAGAGACGACTTACATCATCAAGTAAGACTAAAGTAGAACAAATAAAAGGAGCTTGATGAAAGCTCAAGACCTGAACGATCCTTCTAATAAAACTTTCGACTCTTGGAAGACATTGATCATCTTTAAGAGCTTTAAACAAAAGGTTTAAAAAAAGTGCATGTTGAGAAACCGATTGAATAAGACGAGAATCCATCAGGACGGTATATAATGATCTATAAAATCGATCTTCAATCGAAAGTTGATGAAACTTAATTAAATGATAAATCAAAGTTAAAGATTGAATCGAAACTGATAAAGTACTAGAATATAAGATTTTGAATAAATTTTCAATCTCATTCTTTAATCTATCATCATCAAGTTCACCATAAGGTAATGATCGATTTAATCCAGTCAAGATCGCACTTAACAATTTCGCTTGTCGTTCTTGAATCGAGACTTCTTCTTCAAGTTCTTCTTCTAATTTCCTTTTACCTTTCTTTTGTTTTAATCTTTCTTTTCGTTTGACTTCAATCTCTTCAATCTCTTCTTCATTTAATTCTTCTTCTCCATCTTCTTCTTTTTCAGTCTTTCTACCCAAGATCTCTTTAAATAATTCAAAATAAACTTCAATTAATTTCTTGGCAACTAATTCATCTTCATCTTTTACCAAAGTGATTTGATTTAAAGTGATGACACCATAATACCTACAATGATCTTGAACTTTACTTAATTCTTTCAACTTTTTCGAATTGGTGGCATCTTGTTGATGATGGTGTTTCGAATCATCAAATTTAAACATCAATCCTGAAACCTCTCTTGTAATGATCGATTTCATTAATGGATGTAATTGTAAGATTTGTAAAAGATAATAACCGGTTCTAGAACAAACTGATCTTTCTCGATCTCCTAATTTGTTCACTAATAATCTTAATAAGTTTTGTTCTTGTTCTGGTTTAGAACTTAATAAATAATAAATCCATGAAACACTTTGAATTCGATTAAAAACTAAAACATCATGTGAACTTATCTAAATCGAAATCGAAATCCAACTTCAACTTCATCAGTTTGGCTTATTAGATTTTCAATAAAAAGACCCACTTACTTCAATAATTCCCAAGAATTCTAAATACCATTTCTTAAACCAATCCTCGAAACACCAAACTGCCAACCATTCATCTCCCAGAACAACTCCTTCAAACAAATCGTCCAACTCTCTCGAATCCTTTCCAAACCGTTTAAGTCTCATCTCCCAAACTTTCCAAAGTCCTTCTTTCTGATCCGAAAAGACTTTTAACTTTCGATCAGGTAAACCGGAATGATTTGGATGTTTTAACCAATCTACTAATCCTCTAATCGATCGTCCAGATTCATCTCTCGATTTCTTCTTACAAATCAAAAGTAATGCATTTAAATGAGAAATCGAAAGTAAAGGTGAAGAAGAGATCAACAAGATCAATGCCGAAAGTTTATCACTCGATGTTCCTGCTGTCAAGATCTTATGGATAAACGTCTTATCTGATTCTGAAATACTGGATTTGAATGGATGATTGATGGTCGATTTTTTTCCATTCTTGCCCACTGATGGTCTTAAGGATTCGGTATATTGAGTTGAGATGGTGTTTAAAACAAATTGACCTCTTGCGTGTAATGATTTGATTTGTTCTGGTGTCAACGCTTTAGATTGGGTGCTTGAAGGTAATGGTGGTAGGTAAGATGTATCATACCAAGTCGGTTTAGGTTCAATAGACTGAAACAGAAAGGCAACAGATTAATAATGTCAACTCAATTCTAAGATTTGTAGATCGCAAAGAACTTACCCATGATGAATTGTTAGATTTCTGTCTGGACTGATCCTGGTCTTCTTTATTCGTATTCGCATCACTAGTTGCAAAAGTTTGGTTATTCACACGAATAGCTTCTAGTCGACGTTGTGATGCTTTAGCTTCTTGTTTAGCTAACCGTGCAGCTGCCAAAGATTCTGGATCATCTGCTTCTTGATCTTTTGGGTTTACCTTTTTAACTTCATGTTTAGATGAATTATCTTTCTTAGGTTTTGTTGAAGATTTTGTTTCTTTTTCGGGTTTGGTTTGAGTGGCTTCTGGTCTGCTGGTCGTTTCGATCGGTTCATTAGACTTTCCAAAGATGATTTTCTTATTTTTTGGGATCGGGTCGATTGGTTCATTCGGTTCATCAAAGGTTGTTTTCTTATTTGTTTGGATTGGTTCATCAAGTTTTCCAAAGGTTGTTTTCTTGTTCTTTTGAATCGGTTCAATAGGTTCATTAGATTTTCCAAACGTTGTTTTCTTATTCTTTTGAATCGGTTCTTGGTTCAAAGAAACTGGTTGTACACCAAACCGAAGTCCTTTTACCAAATCTTGTAACTCATTCTTCAACTTAGTCTAATCCAAAAAGAGAAATCATGATTAATTGAAAAACTCAAAGTATTGTTTGATAATTTTAAACTTACATCTGGTTTTGAACTTGAATGATCTTCAAAAAGTATATCGTCATCATCATCGTTTAGTTCTTTGAGCATAGATATGTCATTTTCGTCTCCACCTAGTTCTTGGATTAGTTTTGATAACTTTTCATCTGTTTGACCTTGATCTTTAGGTTGGGGTTTTGGTTTTGGTTTTGATTTTGGTTTTGATTTGATTTGTGGTTTAGATGGTTTTTGGATTGGTTTTTGGATTGGTTCGGGTGTTGGTATTGTTTTAGATGTGGAGATTGGTTTAGATGCTGATGCTGGTTTTGATTTAGATTCAGTTGTTTTAGTTGTTTCGTTTGATGGCTTTGGTTTCGATTTTGAGTTTGATTTTGGGTTTGGGTTTGATTTTGAGTCTGAATTGCTTGATTTCTTGTTGAGATCTGTTGGATTTAGTTTTGATAAGATTAATGCACCTAGTTGATTTTGATCAGTCATTTTAAAGTTGAAGTGGTTTGTTTTTGAGTTGATGGTCTAGGAAGTGTCGAGGTGATTTCCAAATTTCAGTTTTGGATAGGATTGTGGTTTGAGAGTTACAGTTACAGATCAATCTCACTATAAAGATTTCAGAATAGTTACATCTTACTATCGAGTGCGATTGGTCCCGCTTACATAAAAATTCTCACATTCAGGAGTATTTATGTACTTAAGGTTGTTTAAGTATACATAAAGTGGATTGAATAAATTTTTGAATTGTTGAATCTGAATCGAACCAATCAAATCAAAATCAAATCCAAAGACAACGGGAACAAGCAGAACAAGAACAAGACAAGCAAAAGACAATGGGAGTTGTACCAGGTTCAAGAGCCTTTTCATTTGCTTCAAAATCAACCAAAGATTCAAACTTAAACTTATTATTCAGAACTATCAAACCAACTCAATTCTTAACTCCAATCAGTTCAAACTCTTCGACTACTTCAACTAACACAAGAACTTTAACCACTTCGACTACTCATTCAAATCATTTACCTGCTTTCTTTGATCCATCTACTTCAGATTGTTCTTCTTCTTCTTCACTCTTATCTTCTTCTCGTCATCATCCCGATTCGACTTCATTACCTTCTTCACCTTCTTCACCATCACCATCATCTTCAACCACCACTTCACAACCTAAATCAAATCCATCACAACCACCGGTCACAAGACTATCAACTTCAACCGGTTCTTCACATGATTCAAATCAAACCTCATCAAACTTATCATCTTCATCTTCTTCTTCATCTATCAGATCAACTAATCTATCACAACTATCACCTTTAAATTTATATGGTCATCCAATCACTACTCATCCATCAAACCCATCCAAATCAAATCGACCCAAAAAACATTACTATTCATTCACAAACGCAGCTTCTGGTATACCTAAAACTTCTGCTAAATCATTGTTTAATAATGAACCCAATCAATTCAAAATCTTAAATTCTTTATCATCGACTCAATTGACAAATCCAAAGAAATCAAGTAGAGATCATGATTGTTTAAGTCAACAGATTGGTGAAGATTCTTATTTTTTAAGAAACGATTCGTTAGGTGTGGCTGATGGAGTAGGTGGATGGAGTGGTAAACCTGGAGCTAATTCAGCTTGGTTTTCAAATCAACTAATGCATCGTAAGCGTTTTCTTTTTCATTTGTTCAATCTAAACCCTTTTCCTAAACGAATTCTAATGGGATTTCTTTTTTTTGGATAGATTGTTCATTTGAATTAAGTCGATATGAAAATACAGAAGATGAAGTTTTTGTAGATCATCAATCGATTGATCCGGTTGAGATCTTACAAATCGCATATGAAAAGAGTTTACATGAATCTAAACAAGAAGGAATCATTGGATCTACAACAGCTTTGGTGGCCATCTTGAGAGATGATGAATTAAGGATCGCTAATTTAGGAGATTGTTGTTGCTCGTTGGTCGGATTTGATCATCTACCAGATCTTCTGATTTAATTGACACTTTTTTTCTGTTTTTTGGGGTTGGGTTGGGTTGTGTAGGATTATTAGAGGAAATGATTATATTTTTAGGAGTGAAGAACAACAACATTCGTTTAATTATCCGGTTCAAATCGGAACCAATTCGAAATCTACTCCATTAAAACATGCTCAAAGATATACCATCAAAGTTCAAAAAGATGATGTAAGGTTTCGATTTCACAACCTCATCCAACCTTACTTGAAAAACAAACTGATTTGTTTTGGGCGGGCGGATTCTAGATTGTGATCTTAAGTTCAGATGGATTAGTCGACAATCTATTCGACGAAGATATTCTAGAAGAAGTAATCAAATACAAACCTTGTGTACCAGAAAAGGTTTCTGAAAGCTTAGCACTACGAGCTAAAACTGTTTCAATTGATCAGTTTGCAGTTGCTTCTCCTTTTTCTCAAAGAGCTAATGAAGAAGGAATCCATTATGTTGGTGGAAAGAATGATGATATTTCTGTTTTGGTGGCTGTGGTTAGAGATCTTTGAAAAAAGGGGAATGGAATTCAGTTTTGGAGTTGATGTTGAAGTTTGGGGCTTGGGTACTTTTGATTGGGTTTTTTTTCTTTGGGTGGGTTTTAATTTTTTTTTCTTGAATGGTATATTTGTATTCAAAAAAAATCATTTGTAAACCAAACAAAAAAAAATGTCTTTTTGAGGTTTTTGATTTTTTGTTAGTTGTTTTTTGTAATACAATTGGTTTTGATTTTGTAGAAAAGTTTTTTGTTAAAACAGTTTTAATCTATCTATACATATATCTATATCTATATACACAACAGTTTTTTTTAGATTTGTTATTTTTGGAATAACGAAAGAAATTAAGATTTTTGAACAGTGATTCATTTCTGAAGTGAAGTTGACATGATTTAGATTGTTTAAATTTAATTTTTGATGGTGGTCCAGAAGACAAAGTGAAGATTGGTAAAGACTCGTCTACAATTTTAGATGTTATGATACCGATCTCCTTGAAAACCTTTAAATTGATACGTTGACATAATTTAGTTTGTTTAAATTTAATTTTCGATTGTGGTTCAGAAGGACAAAGAGGTGAAAGTGAAGATTTGTAAAGACTCGTCTACAATTTTAAATGTTATGATACCGATTTCCTTAAAAACCTTTGAATTGATACGACGATCGGTATCAACTTGGTTTGCATGACTATTCCTTGGAAGTCATCTTTCTATTTTTAGATTGGTCACCAGCACGTTGATCATGGAGTCCAAGTTTAGAATCATTCTCCGCTCGGGTGACTTGACAAATTTTAACGAGTCGAGCTTGAGTACTGGTAATCATGAGATCGAAGTGGATTGCTTGACTACATTTTGATCTAGACGTGTATATAAGAAGGAATTGTCGCTTGAAGGGAATGACGCTTAGATATCGTCTGCTCCTGATTACGCTTTTTCATTTATTCATTCCCCTTTAATACATCATCACATTTCCAGTTCTTTTGAACGTTTCGAGACGCTAGATCGTCTTGCTATAGTCTAACTTGAGAGAGTTTACCAAGAAAATCAAAACAACTTTTTTCAAAAATCAATCCAAGTTTTAAATCGAGTAGACAAAAGATCTAATCATTCAAGATGTATTTCAGTGGAGTTCTACTGATTTTGATCACTGTTATTGTCCTAGACAAAAACTTGGTCTTTGGCCAGCTTGTTAGCACAGATTGCACGAATTTCATTGGACCGACATTTGATGGACTTTACTGTAAGTTGTTTTTCCTTGAAGTTTCATTACCTTTTTAGCTTTCATCAATTGTTCTTTTCAAAGACAAAAAAAATCTTAAGATGATCCCATGATTTTTTTTTCTTCAGATTGTCAGTTTGGAAGAAAAGTCTTTACGTGTAAACATCAAATCATTCCAAAGTTCCCTTTGGAAGGATGTGTGTCTTTTATTAAACCTACAGATTTGTCTAAGACTGTCAAAGAGAAAGTCAGTAATCAAATATGTGATTCAGTAAGACGAGTCAATGGGTTTGCACGTATGTGATTCTTTTGTGTTTTTTTTCATTAAAATAAGATATATGAAGTGAATGTGATCTTTTTTGTATGGTTTTAAAGACTGTGGACTGACTCAAGTGAAGAATGGAAAAGTTGAAGTGATCAAAACTTTCAAGTGTAAGGACCCATTGAAGGTTTTAAACAGTTGAGTACCTTTTGTCTTCTCATATCATTGATAATGTTTTATTAATTGACTTATTTTGAGAAAACTGTTTATAGTTATGAGCGATTGTACTCTCATTCCTGATCAAAGTATCATTTAGTGAGTAAGACAGATTAAAAAAATTCAGTTTATAAGATATATCATGATTTCTTTGATAATTGATTTTTTTGGTTTCTTTTTAGTGATGTTGATTACAATTTTAAAGGATCAAATAGGTTGTGATAGATCCTGGTGATCAATCATACTTGGATCTTTTGGAGTGATACAAATGTAACCCTATAATATTTTAACTCTGAACTATTGTCTCTTGACAAGAATCATAAATCAATCATGTATTCTTTTCTCAATTGAAACTTTTCCTTGAAATTCATCCTACTTTGAGAGATTTGGAGGAATTCCCAAACCCTTCACCAAGATATCTGATCCCCTGCCTCGACTTAAGTCTCTCAAGCAGTGCTGTGAATTCCTTCAGAAGAACTAGGTATGGACTTGTTGCCTGAAAGGGGAATGGAAAGGCTAGGTTTTCATTCTCTCATCTGTTAAAAGGTTCTGAAGGATCACGCCTTTGAAGAAAAAGTCTACCACCCACCCACCTCCCAATGGATACGTTCAGTTTTACCCTCTGCCTGCTCCTCATAAAGATCACCCCAAATCACAACTTGTATTCTGAGAAAGGAAAAACTCATGCGTGCACTGTAAGCACTACCAGCTGAGTGGTCAAAATGAACTGAAGATGAACTTTAACCCTGAAGGGACCTTTGTAATGATTGAGGGAGGTAAAATGTTACAATGCCTCTAATTGCAATTAAACTGTGCCCAGTTGTTCAGATTACCTAAGAGCACTGCCAAAAAGATGCCTTGGGTTGAGAAATCCAAGGCATCATCAGAGGCAAAGATATCCTCAGACAGACCCTGCACAAAGTTTTTATCCAAGGCAGTCTTCTGCACTGAGAAGTACTTTTGATCAAAACCTTGGAAAGCTTCTGTCCAAGGTTTATAATCCAAGAATACCTTGTATTAAAAAATCAGGTAAATATGTTGGCAGTGGAGTTTTTGTGTGCAATATTCCTTGATATTATTCTAAGAATACTTGAATAAATCACCAACATAACATATCTATGTAGAGTTGATTGGTTTCACAGAGTACACTACTGTTCAATGAGTCCTGACTACTTCTTTGAGAGAACCCTGGCAGCACGCCTTGGTGGTTCGAAAGCCCAAGGGGACTTAGTGGAGCTGAGGTAAAAGCCCTGAGTGGTTGGTCAGCCGGCCCGCGTCCAGAAGAATGGTGAAAATTCTGGACGCAAAACTTCCTAGCCGCACACCAACCACTCATCACCTCAAGCTCGAATAGATCACTTGATAAAAATCATTACACGATGCTCGAGTTTCTGTACCTTGGACAATCATTGAGGGTTAATCACGCAAGTTGATCTGTGGGAGGAAGACATGCACTATGTAACACACATGGCAGTTTTTGGAACCCTCAGTCCACTCTCTACTTAGTGATATCTATGAGCGGTCATAGACTGTTGGGTATACATTGTATACTGATATTCAACTAAAGCATCTTATGCTTTGAGTTTTAATCTTTATTGTGTCATTGTAGAGTATGCTCTACATGCTACTGGTTGTATCCTATACAACCATAACCTTCTTCCCGAGAGAGGGAGGCTTTGGTTGTGTTTGGGGGGGCCCCCTCTGCCAAAAACTAGAGGGGGGGTAGGACTACCAGTAACCGCAGATGGGGTGAGCTCTTCCCCATGACTCGGGGCGACGTCCTGAGCCTGAGAAAACCCCATCCACGGTTTTTTTTTTATGCATTGCTTAAAGTGTTTTGGAGCCGCTAGGCTATCAAACACTATCTACTATGTCCAGCACTGGTAAAACCCCTCTGGCTGTGTCAGGGGAAAGGGTTGCTGTTGGCTGTTTCATCTATTTTACATATGTGGTTTTTATAATGTACGGCGCTAAAGGATGGAAATTGAAAAACTTATTCTCTTGGTTGTTGCCTTTGTGTTGGCGTGGTTTTGTTGTTGATTGTTGCCCAGCTCCAGCGACTTTTCAGTCTCCAGGTATCATCGCAATATTGCGCGATGGCTTTATAAGCAATAGGTTTGTGTAAGATTGAGGTGTTGCTTTTGAGTTCGAGTTTCTTCAGCTCTTCTTCAAATTTCTTTCGTTCTTCGATGAACTTTCTGCATGTGAATAAAAAGTGTTCTACTGACTCAATGCCTTCTTGGCATTCACAGCTTGGGTCGTGGATCTGTCCAAATTTGTTCAGGTACTGATTCAATTCAATATGTCCTGACCTTAGTTTCGTGATTGTGCTAATTTGATGTTTGTTGAGGTTTGATAGGTGTTTGAGGTGTGATTTTTGTTGTGGTTGGTGGCCGAGCCTCTTCAGCTCGGGCGGTTCGGTGATATCTGAGTTTGATGTTTTCCATTCCTTGATTGCGGAAATGAAACTAGCGGCTGTTGGTTTTGCTTTGAATGTGCTAGGTAATTTCTTCCTTGCCTTGTTGTTGGCGATTTCGTCCAATATTTCGTTTCCGTCTACTCCCCAAGTACTCCTCCCCCGGGCCAAAGGTAAGGATCCCCTAACACCACCTCTTATAGTATCAAACCACTGATC